CTCTAAATAATAATATGCCACTATAGTGAGATATGTATATGCAACCCCCTCACATATATTCCTACACTCATACACTATATATTAATAGACACATATGCTTCCTATTCAACAAAGTTGCTATGCAACAGTCTACTACAGATCCCTCCACAGAACCTTCACATTAGCAGATTTCCGCAGCTCTGTGCAGTCTGTGATGACTCTTTTCAAATTAAGAATCAGTGACCATAAATTTGAGGTAGAGGCTGGGAGACACATAGTACAGTGCAAAAGGACTGTGCAACCAATGTGACAGCAGAGTGAATTGAAGAGACACTTTGTGCTCCAATCTCAAAAATATGATGGAGTAAGAGATATTTCCTCAAATTATCAGACATGATTAAAGACTTTCCATTAAAAAGCAGTTAAGAAAAACTGCATTACCCTGAGAGGATGGGAAGAAAAGAGATGACAGAGATGACATTTTATATAGCAACCTACCACTGAATCAGAAATGGACAATAATAACCAAAGGATGTGGAAAAATACCCCAAACCCAGTGTGAAGACCTACCGTGAGCAGATTGTAACTACCTTTGACAGAGACCTGAAGGGTCTTTCTCCTCTTTACACTTTGTTAGCTTGCATAACTTGTCATGCCAATACAGTGTTACTGAATTAAATCGAACGGTTATAGGACCACAACAGCCTATCATTTCTGTTTCATGCACCTTCAGACAAAACCCTGACAGGCAGCATTCATAAGGCTAAAGGCAGGAATGTGAGAGAGAAGCATGAATGCTAATGCATGGGTGAGACATACAGTATTATAAAAACTGGGCTTCTCGTATTTTGTCCAGTCTAATTTAAAAATTATGTAGGAGTTGCCAGACCGGCTCTGACCCTGGGCCCATCCAGTCCAGAGTCCTGTCTTTGACAGTGGCCAGCACCTGATGCTTCAGATGAAGGTATAAGAAACTTCTATTCCCCAGTAGTTTAGAGATTGGCTCAAACCCTGAATCATGGAGTTTAATGTCTCTTCCAAAACTTGTTATCTTTAACTATGATAATTCTGGATATTCTTAACATCCATACAAATGTCTAATCTCCTTTTGAATCTTGCTAAGTTTTGGCCTCAATGACTTCTTGGGGTAGTGAATTCCATGGTCTAATTATGGATTGTGTGAAAAAGTATTTCCTTTAATTTCATTGAATGTCCCCTTGTTCTTGTGTTAACAGAAGTTCCCGATCTACTATGTTTGTACCATTAATTATTTTATATACTTCTATCATGTCATATACAACCAACGGGGCTTCCACCACTTTCCTTGAGAGACTATTCCATGGCTCACCAGATCTCAGTATAAGGAAGTTCTTCCTGTTATTCATTCTAAATTTCTTCTTTAGTAATTTCATCCTATCACTCTAAGTTATAGCCCAGGCAGCACACCAAAAAATCTGTTCTCTTTTGTGTTTACACACATCAATTATTTGTTGTTATCATGTCCATCCTGTTTAGAAATCCCTGTTTAGCGAAGCTAGACCTATTTCACTTTTTAAAAATCTTCCTTCATCAATCAAATCCCTCCAGCTTTCTGATCATTATGGTTGCTCTTCTATGAATTCCTTCTAATATATTCTGGTAGTACGGTGCCATGATTTGAAAACAATGTTCTAGATAAGGCCATGTAGAGGGGGAATATTAGGAAACAGGACTGGAAGAGACCTCCTGGGTCATCGAGTCCACTTCCCTGCTATCACAGGCAACCCAGTCATATAATCCCATTCATAAACATATCAAGCCTCATTTTAAGACTAGTTAGGTTGCTTGCCCCAGTACTTCTATTGGAAGGCTGGTCCAGAATCTTACTCCTTTGATGATTAGAAACCTTCTTTTAATTTCTAGTCTAGATCTTGGCATATGAAGCCCAAAGTTATAACAACCTTGTATGCTGCCATTGCACGTTGCAAACTCATCTCTTCTTTGCTGCCTGCTCTCACTCCCATGGGCAGGAATTTTCAGAAGAATTCAACACCCATGACTGGGAAGAGAGTTTCCAAAGAACTCAGTTCTCTGGGAGGCACCAAAACACAAAGCCAGATTTTCAGAAGAGCTCAGCCCACTGGGTGCACATTGGGTGCTGAGCTCTTTTGAAAGTCTGGCCCCTATTTAGTTGCCTAAACGCGGCACTAAGCTCTTTTGAAAACGTGGCCCTGTGTCTATCTCACCACGGCTACTTCCCAGAGTCCTCCTCCCTCACATTGAATACTTGTGTTTCAGATCATTCCCTCCAGTTTTCTCCTTTTGTTACTTTCTGCCCAGGTGTCTACTCTCTCTCCATCCCTTTGTATTATTTCTCTGTCCTGCCTAGTGTCTGCAACTCCTCCAGTTTTACTATCGTCTGCAAATCTCCTTGATGTGCTTTGCTCGTTCTTCCACATCATTAATGAAGAATTTTAAGAAGACATTCAATAAGATTTCTGACAAAAGGGCCTATCGGTGATATTGGCTGTACCTCACTAGACACTTGCTTCCACCTCAGCACATTCCCATTTATCATTAGCCTTTGTTTACAGCCTTTTAGCCAGTTTTCACTCCACAGGACAGTCTTCCTATCCAAGGAAATTTATTTTTTCATTTAATAATGAAAGTGCCTCTTCATCCAGAACTACTGCACATATAACCATATATCTATGTAGACAGACAGAGATATAAATGTCTGATAGCAGAACAGAAACTAAAACAGTGTTAGTTCTACACAGACACTGCTATAGTGGAGAGAAGTAGAGTTTAGAAGAGGGACCAGTGTAGGGAAGAAATGCATAGAGGTGGCTGTATGGCAAGTTATTGGGCTCTATAAAGGGGTAAGTGGGTAAAATTCTATGGCCTGTGTTATGCAGGAGGTCAGACTAGATGATCACAGTGGTCCCCTCTGGCTTTAACATCTCTGAATCTAGTCTCTGTGGGCCCAATTCTGATCTCACACTGGTTTTTCCCAGGTGTAATTGCATTGATTCTAGTGGAGTTACTCCTTATTTACCCTGGCATAAGAGAGAGAAGAATGCAGGGCTTCATTTTGATCTGTCCAACTTTGTTTTTAGTTCTGGGCCCCAATAATTAAAATTTCCTTGGCACACATCCTCAGGAGACAGCCTGTCAACTGGGTTTCTTTCATTTAGTTTCTTGCCTGCTCTCACCTGTAATAAACTTCCCCTCAGCTCTGGAGAAGGGAATGAAGCCACTGAGGTAAGGAATAGGATTGGCCTCAGCACTGTGGGAGAGCCCTAAGGAGGTCTTGGTCATTGTTGATAGCCTGATAAAAGTGGAAGCAGGGGGCATTAAAGGTGGAAGATGAAAGACACTTCTTGTTATATGGTAAGGGAGAAAAACCCAGTATAAAACCTAGGGAGAAATGGAAGAAATTCTGAAAGTGCCACAATGTCTTATGTGACAGCTGTTTTCACTGAGCAAGGCATGACCTGAAATACCAAACAGACAGAGTGGGACAAATTCATTGCTGGTGTAACTCCACTGACTTCAATGGCATGAAATTGGCCCACTGCATCAAATTCATTCCCCTGTTATAACCAGCATGATACCTGTGCCATATACAGTGGATACTTCCTGTAGTGACATGGGCAATCCTTGTCTGTGCTCTATAGTTATCAAAACTGAATCAAGAAAGAGGAGATGCAGAGGAAGAGGGAAAAGGGAAAGGAAGAAAGGTGGGGCGTAATAAAGAATTGACACGCAGGTAAGAGGCTAGTTTCTGTTTCCCAGCCCCTGCCTCATGAGATGGGGCAGGGTTACAAAAGATTATACCCCGGGGTAAGTGTCCATTGACTGCAGGGGAAAGAAGGAAAGAGAGAAGTGTCATATGAACACAGCAGATACGTAGCTGGATCCTGTGTATGGTACCCCTCCTCACCCCTTTCCCTCCACGGTGAAATTAACACCAAGGTGGGGACCGTTTCTCAGATCTGAGCCAAACCAGCAGGGAAGCCATTTAGCTGGGCCAGGGAGCTGTATAAAGCTGATTGTGCCTCCAGGTTCAGGCTCGGCCCATCAGATCCTGACAGCTCAATCCCCAGCAGAGCTCACAGCCCTGACTCATACATGCTGCATATACACAGAGCTGCAGAGGTGGGAACCAGAATAAGAGGGAAAGAAGAAAATGCGCAGCAAGGAATAGATAAAATACGCCATTGTTGTTCACCCCCACGCAGAGCTGGGCTGGTGTATTTTTAAATGAGAGGAAACTGAAGAGCGGTGCAGAAGGTAGTAGAGATCAACCCCCTCACTCCCGCTCCCACCTGATCTCACTGCTCATCCATAACCCACCACACACCTCACCATGTCTCTATAGGCGGTCTCACCTCTTCCATATTCTTACGTGAGACCAAAAAAAAATTCTTGCTTTATTACCAATTCCCAGCTCCAGCACTTTGGTTATCAGTTGGACACTATAGACAGAATGACTCCACGTGTAGCCCGACTGTTCACACACTCCCCACAACGCAGCCAGGCAGTCTTTGCACAGCCCTTTGAGAAGAGGGGTTTTTTGGAGGGTGGGAGCGGGGCGGTTGGAGACAAAATGAAGGCTAGGCTGAGAATCTCAGGTACACAGGAATTTAGCCTACACCTGGATTGGAACGAGGGCTCTGTGTCCCATTATCCCAACATCCCTGAGTTCTTCAGGACTCACCACCAAACTGAGGCTAGATTGGTGACTCAGAACTGGAGGGCTAAGTACCCCAAAACTATTTGCCAATTCTTGACCCAGCCAATGGCCCACCAGCTGAGACTGGAATCTAGGGGCCCTGGTTTTGGTGATCTACACAGAGTATACATGCATAACTGTCTTATAGGCTACAAGGTCAATCCAGCTACCTAGAGGTCCAGGGTGGGACAATCAATGGGGGGAGAGATCCCAGACATAGCAGCAGAGCAATGAATAAAAACAACACAGACAAGGGTGAAGTGCAGATGAAATGGGGTGCCAGTGAGAGGGAAGAACGACTTACTAGGCACCCGGTTGATGGCTTTGAGGGGCCTCAGGACACGGACAGTACGGATTGCAGACAAGTTAATGTTTTGCAGGTCCAGGGAATATTCCACCATCCTGCAACAGGAGAGACAGAGAGTGAGTTTAAAACATTCCAAGACTCAGTTTGAGCGACAGGTATGACACCAGCAGGAGGAAGTGAGGGGTGCCCGAGATGAGAGGGCAGGGCTGTTCACGGCCTCCATGCAGTGCAAAAACCTTTCAATGCATCCGTGCTTTTCCATCCGGCTGGTGGGGAAAGCGTTAAAAACAAGGGGTACTGATGAACCCACGAACACATTGATAATATGCTAATGTGCTCCCCACTGAGGCTAGAGAGGCAGAGGAAATTAATGACAGCTGGCTTGACAAAGCACAGGGTGCATTTTTATTCAAGAGTTTCTGGCAACAGTATAAGTCCTGAGAGTGGAGCTGGAGTCCTTGGGAGCCCGACAAGAGCAGAACTCAAGTCCCCAGAAACCGAAGGTAGAAAATTCAGCCCTTCAATCCATACGTTTTGGAATGGAAAAGAGAGACAGAGCAGCAGTGACAAGCCATCAGGCTCCAACTCAGCGGGCTGCAATGACCCAGCCTGGCACTTACCTGTGGCAACTGTCACAAAGGGAAAAGGCTGTGCAAGAACAGACAAGGGGATGGTGGCAGAACAGCATGCACCCCACAGGTGACCCCTGCAGAGAGAGATGGGCTGGAGTTCACTGGCAGCTGAACACTCTGGAGCACAGCAGCCACCTTCCCTTCCCAGATGGTGCAGCTGGACTTACTGTGACATACACATCCATAGATTCCCATAGCAAGGATCTAATCAAGGGTCCTTATAGCACTGGGCAGGGTCCACGAGCAGCAGGAGTGATCACATCTCAGCTGTACGTCACTCCTGTTGGACACCATCCTCAGGGGAATGTCCTTATTTTATGATATATACAGGATCTGTGTTTTTTTAAACTTGCAACCTACGCAACGAGTTCTCTCCCCAAATCACCTTGAGAACTGAGCAGCTGTAAGTAATGCATTGGCTTGAACCCACCCCTGCCAGTCAGACAAACATTAAGGAAACATTCCTTTTCTTTAATATGCGGGGAGGAGAGGAAACATGGGCCTTATAAGGCACTTACTTGTAAGAGGATCTCAAAGCACTTTACACACGTTAATGAATTTAGGCTCATGACCCCTCTGGAAGGTAGGCAAGTATTGTGATTCCCAATTTACATGAAGGGAAACTGAGGCACACAGCAGTAAAGTGACTGGCCTCAGGTTGGCCACTGAGTCAGTGGCAGACTCAGGAATAGAACCCAGATCTTCTGAATCGTTCTAATCAACATTAACCACAAGGCCATCAAAAAAAAGGTGACATTCTCTTGCTGTTTCGAGATGCACAGGAGAGGAATAGGAGAATCTTCTCCTTTCTGCTGCATCTACTCCAAAACCAGAAACGCTTGCTTAACATGCGGCACTTGTCATATACAGAGGCCTTAGGACCTCAGGGCTGTCTATTCAGCACCTTTCACCAGCACCAAATCCACTTTATATTAAAATACCAAGTTGCTTTGTCTCAGTTCTTTTGAGCACTGTGACCCCTCTACCCGGATTGATCCCTGCAATCCATCACCTCATTTCCCCCCCACCACCACCACCAGCACCAGCACCACCACCAAAGGACATGAAAAGCAGGTGTCTATCTAAACTTTTCTATCTAAACTTTTCACAAAAGGACTTGTCGGAGTGATAGATTTTCAGACAAAATGGGGTAAACCTGTCGAGGTGTTGTGATTATTTTTTTTCTCTCTCTCTCTTTTTCCCACCGCTCTGTTCTCTCTCATACTTTTAGAGTAATTGAGTGAAATAATTCTTTTCCTGAAATGCAGCAGTGTTGATCTATCCCCCTGGAGCTGTCAGCTCCACACACAGTGAACACGGGGGGAGCGAGCGGCGGCGAGAGAGAGAGAGAGAGAGAGAGAGAGAGAGAGAGAGAGAGAAGGGATTTTGCACAGATAATCAAAATATTCATAAAGGAGACACAATCAGCTCACAGAAAGCATGAATGATGGACAGGGATTGAAGATGTGAACAGCAGTTGGGGAAGGATACACGGCAATACACACACACACACTTGTATATGTGCTTGCAGACATACAAGCAGGCACGCAAAAACACAGGCCTCCACACAGAGTTATACACTTGCAGATGTTCTTTTCTCCCACTTCCCATGAGTACACTAGAGGGAAAAGGTGGGTGAGGTAATATCTTTTATTGGACCGACTTCTGCTGGTGAGAAAGACACGCTTTTAAGCTACACAGAGCTCGAAAGCTTGTCTCTTTCATCAACAGAAGTTGGTCCAATAAAATACATTATTTAACTCACCTTGCCTCTCTCATATCCTGGGACCAACATGGCTACAACAACACTGAAACCACGAGGACACTGTCAGCTATATCCCCTACGGAGATGAGTGGTGGGGCGGGGTGAGAGCTGTGAAAACAAGGGGTTTCCTCTCTGACAAACAGCAGAACAGTCTGAAATAAATTCTCTCAAGCAGATATCAAATAAGCAAATGATCCTAATGTAAAACCTTGCAATTTGGAACGGGGGCCTTTGTTGAACTACAAGTCTCCAGGTAAAAGATCCAATTGCTCTCACAGAGCATGAGCACAGCAGAAAGGCACAATCTCATAATGAACTCGCTGCTGGGTACGTGTACTCTACTTCCCTATACTGGATGTAATCAGAACTTGTCAACTATCGTGCTACAACTGAGATCCTCCTCCAGCTGAAGTTTGGAGCAGGAGGGTCAGAAGTCTATGTCAGCTGTAGTTACAGTAGCCACAGTGTCAGTATGTGGCATTCTAGGTGGCTCTGGATTTGTTACACTCTAGTTTGTTTGGTTGAAAGATCCTGGAACAGTCAGTCTCAGTGCCAGGTGTCACTGAAAAAGAACAACTGGTTCTCAGGGAAGGGAGGGGATTCTTCTTTTGGGAGAAAGTTTGACCCTCTATGGTTTTGCAGAGAGCAACTTCTAATACAGATGAGCTCAGCTCCTACTGGTTTGGCCAGGGGTTTCAGCTCATCTGATAGAACTGTCACTTACCGTTTCTCATGAGGATTCTCAGTAATAGTCTTGGCTAGGGTAACAAATGGGACATGCATGCACACCCGCACTGAATGACAAGGGGTCCCGGCTAATTGGTTATTATGCCCACTATGTTCAGCTCAGAGATATCAGCTATAACGTGGACACCCTGAACCTCCACATCACACAGTTCCAGAATCTCCTCTGCTTCAGCATGGTGACAGGTTTCAGAGTGGTAGCCGTGTTAGTCTGTATCAGCAAAAAGAATCATAGAATATCAGAGTTGGAAGGGACCTCAGGAGGTCCCTGCCCAAAGCAGGACCAATCCCCAATTTTTGCCCTAGATCCCTAAATGGCCCCCTCAAGGACTGAACTCACAACCCTGGGTTTAGCAGGCCACTGCTCAAACCACTGAGCTATCCCCCCTCAACAAGCAGTACTTGTGGCACCTCAGAGACTAACAAAAGCTTATGCTCAAATAAATTTGTTAGTCTCTAAGGTGCCACAAGTACTCCTCATTCTTTCTGCTTCAGCAGTTTTCCTGTCTCAGGACCACTCCTTGACACGGCTCTCTCATTCCTGATGTCTCTAGCCTTGACATTACCTTATGTCAATATTTCCCCCCACCTCCAAAGTGATGCCATACACACAGGCTCAAGGAGGGAGGAGACTGGGATGAGGCCAACCCCCTGCCCAGGAAGGAACCTGCTGTCTGTGTGGGCAATTCAAATTTCACCTCCATCCCCTTTCAAAATGGGATCTTTCAGAGACACGGGTAATTTCAGCAGGTGGACCTGCAGAACCCCACCAATTTTCAATCCTGCTGTTTGCTTTCATACCCTTCCCCTGCCACCCTGTGCCTCACCTCCCCGGACTGTGTTTCTACTGGTGGTACCCAGTACATGGCGGGAAGCTGGGCTGCACTGGCTGAGTGCATCACCTGATGTCATAATCTTCCCTGTGTGACAGTAGGACAGATAACCACAGAGACTGACTGGGATGTCACCGAGAATGAGTAGCCAGGAACAGGCTATCACGAAACCAGGATCACATTTGCCACACAAGTGTTTGAAGCTCTTGTAACATTTGCCTTCAAACTCCTGGTTCACCTAATACCCACACCCTACCAGCAGTGAGCCTGATCCTCACAGGGATCAGGATTTCATGGCTGACACTGTTCAACAGAGTTCACTAGACCAAAACTCAGGGGGAAGGGGGCCCAGCTCTGAAGTTTGAATTCAAATCCCCACCTCTATAATGGGCCTGAACAATTATCCTGGATCCAGTGACTCCTATGCATTGGGAGAAAGGGTTGAAATCTGAAGCTGGATGAGAATTTCACAGCTAGCACCCAAAACTTTGGACCTGAACAAGGGGAAGTTTGAGTCTGCATCTGAACTTCGGGGTTTTGACCCATCACTTGCCCCCAGCTATCTGAAAGAGTTTGGGAAACCATGTTGATCACAATACGCTGTTGGTGTTATAATTTAACTAGAGCAGGGTCAAACTAAGGTCAGCCAAGACATACACCACCTTCTCCCCTAATCCTCCCCTTGTCGCAGCCCAGCTTGACAAGAAAGCATGGGTCTGATTATATATTCCAATTTAGCTTCTCTCGGCATCTTGTAGTCTCTGTTCTTTTATTGTAATTGCTGCTGGTGTCTTCAGGCCCAGAAGCAATCAAGCAAAGCAAACGGCCCAACAAAAACCTGTACCAGGATTTGAATGCTCTCTCCCTCCATCCCCCTCAAGTAAATGGCAGCTCACCTCTGCCGTTGAACAGATGTTACTTGGCCTTTGGTTGTGGGTGGGTGAGTGCAGGAAGGGATTAGGAGCTGAAACTACTGCTAAATCAGTGGGAAACCCCTGAGCTGTGAAGGGATTTGAGCAGAGAGCTGTCAAGATAATTGAATTTGTACAGTAATGCCTCTCCACCCAGAGACTATATTCCCCTTCAAGGTTCCTGTGCAACCCTTCTTGGAAAGGGAGGGG